CTGTATATTATATTATTCACATGCCATATTAATCAATCAATCAATTGTTGGTTCAGTGATATATATCCTATACTAACATAAAATTGACCATATAACTTGAATATACAAGTGTTAAAAAAGAACCAATGGTAGTTAGTCGTTATCAAAATTTACGATGCATCAAACAATTACTGTTGAAATTAATAAACAATATTTACATATATCTGATATTCGAATTCATAAACCAAAAATAAATAAATTAAAGCATTAGTTATTTCAAAGCCTGAAAATTAGGTGATTAATTTCGTGCTAATCCTTTTCAATTGTTAAAACTTAAAAAGTGCGCGAAACCAGTGATGACGTGGAATTGTAGGCGCCATTATTTTGCAATTTCTCAAACACGTGGAGCAAAAAGGTAGTAAAATTGCACACATGTTACATATACAGTCAAAATCGACACGTTTTTTTTTTTTAAATCAAAAGACTTTAATATTTCAAAACAAACAAAGTCGTGACATAATAATATTTTAAGCACTCTACATTTTATTTTATTAGTTAAATACTAATAATTAAAAAAAATATAAGGTATTTATTTACTAGTGATGGTTGGTAATATAGGATGAGCATGTCCACGTGTCCACTTTAGCGCACAGTTGGAGAAAGTACTGAAAGGTGATGTTTGGCCGACATCAATTCAAACTTCCCTTTTGATTTATGTCACGTGACAAAAATCCCTGGAACCTACACGCGCACCGGCACGTGCCGGTATTACCCTATTTTATAGAGTAAATTACAACAATCCCTGATATAAGGGCAAATTACGAAACAATTTTGATAATTATATCTGCCCCCTTAACTATAAATCTTTTTACACCTCCATCTTTATGGTGTCAAATTCAACATAACCATCTATATTCCGTAGAATGTGCTCTAGCTTGTACTCGTTTTGTGTAAAAATACAGTTTCTGATGCACCAAAATCTGATATATACAAGCCAAAAACACATCTTATGATCATCTTGCTTCAAAATGTGGAGTTCGATGGGATAAAACGGGTACAAAAGTGATAATTTACATATAATTTAGAAGGTTCCGCTAAATTTGAAACTGCAAGAATTGACATGTAAGAAGATTTATAGTTGATGGGTGGTTGTAATTACCCAAACAAGAGGATATTTTTCGTAATTTGACCATACGAGGGGTGATTATAATTTACCCTATTTTATAATTATAATATCATTTTTATATATTGTCAAGTGAAAGATAATTCATTATTATTTATCACCTTAATCAATTGCATCAAACTGTACAAACACCAAAACCACTAATTTTCCAATATTGTGAATTCTGTTAATAATTATTATATTATTAGGTTAGTTGTAGGCAGCAACTTCATTACAGTCACACATGGTAGGGAAGAAATATATACAGATCATATATAAAATGATATTATCATCATCATAAATATTTGAAGAAATGAAGTTATGTATATGAAACACCTTGAAATAAATAATTGAACCTGAATGAATGTTCTATGTCTAGGGAGAAAAAAAATGTGTCCAATTTTGAATGTTATTTGTACAAACTCTTTATGGGCACATTTAATTTGTATGCTGCTTATGGATTTTTTTTAATTATTATTATTTTCAATTTTTTATATTACTTTTGTGGTGGTGTGAAAATGATTGAAGTGAAATGGTGAAACATATATAAATAATGTCGGAGTGGGCATGTGCACAAGTTGTGTACAATCGATTTAATTAGGAATTTTGAATTCAAGCTTTTTGGAGTCTATTCAAAAAATTGCCATATTTCGTAGATCATCAATTCATTTATTTAATTTGTACTATACAGTTTTCCATGATTGATTGAATGTAAGTAATGCTTTGGCGCATAGACGTGCAACATTTTCTTGACTTCAATCTTTTCTTTATGTTTGTCAATTAATTCGCATATCAACAACAATTAAACTAATTAATTAGTTGATTAGTGTTTAAATCAATGTTCAACTAGCTAGGTAGGTGTTACCCTCTAGACGGAGACATCGACTACATATAGACCAAACGGTGGCCGAGAGATGGACAAAGATTTGAGGTACTTGGCCGAGAACAACAAGGCAAGGGTTTCGAGTGATTGACAAGCATTGAGGTGCTTGACCGAGAAAGGTATGACAAGTGTGGGCAAGGCAAGCGGGCTGAATAGCACGCGTGCGGGCAAAATCGATCCTTGGGCGCGCGTGCGCGCCGATTGGACAAGCCGGACAGCTAATTGACTTGGGGGAGTTACGGAAGGCAGTTGCGGAGCTGTTGGCATCATCAATGACTTAGAAACCGACTATTTTATGTTGTATTAGTGAGCCAAGTGGCTGGCCTGCGTGCCGCTACGTGTCCCTTGACAGTTTAGTGTGTAAACTAAATTGTACCTTGTATTTATAGGCCATTGGGTGCACAAATCCGACCCATTCAGATAGAGGGACTCAAATTGCAATTGTAGCATATGT